TTGTTGGAGGCTGTCAGTCGTCTGGCGTCAGTCTGGGCCGGCTGGACACGGCGAACCCCTGGCCGTGCTGATCCCTCCCCCCCCCCCGCCCCGGGCCCACCGGCAGCGCCATACCGGCGGCCACCGGATTCGCAGCATTGGTGCGCAGTTTGGACCGACCGGTCACGCTGGCCCCACACAGCCCTGTTTCAGAACACCGCGAAGTGAAGGACGTTGGCTGTGCTAGACGATCGATGGTCACACCGCCGTCACACTGCACGCTAAACGATCGATGGGTACGCCGCCGTCACACCGCACGCTGAGCAATCGACGGTGACACCGCCGTCACACCTCACGCTAAACAATCAACGGTCGCACCCCTCACGCTAAAAAATTGACGGTCACACCGCCGTCGCACCCCACGCTAAACAATCGACGGTCACACCACCGTCACACCTCACGCTAAACAATCGACGGTCACACCGCCGTCACACTTCACGCTAAACAATCGACGGTCACACCGCCGTCACACCTCACGCTTAACAATCAGCGGCCACGCCGCCGTCACACTGCACGCTAAACTCGAAATACGTTACTTATGAAGCGCGAAACTACTCGAAGCTATTCTCGGATGGCACGGATGCCTACACGGGATGCAAGCGTTGGGGTGTTACGACTTGCGCAAGGTGCATTCTCAATCTATCGCTCGGTTTCGAAAGCTGACAAATAAAAAAATTCAGGTCCAGTGAGAGATGCAAGCATCACATAGCGGTAGGCGCGCCGAACAGGCCGTCTACCTTGTGCTTCTTGGATAGGTGTCATCCTGTAATACCCGGGAATAACGTCATTTTTCATTCGTATGTGGTGTTGGTTGTGAGGGCGACCCTGTGTGTGGACAGGGGTGCTCCGTAGGCAGGGGTACATGGGAGCCTGTGCCTGACACATGAGTACCCAGGACAGCGTCGGTGTCAGCGTCGTCGCCAGCTCTCCCCCGCCCCGCGTAGCTGCTTTGGTGAACGCGACCATGGGTGATTCATGAGTACACAAGCCAATCGCTGTTATCAGAAGTCTGCGTGAGAGCGAAGGATCAGCAAGATCTCAACGACGGTAGAGGTTACGCGGTATTCAGTGGCACGAGCCATCAGTAGGTCACAGTGCGGTCAACAAAAGACGGCTGTGAACAAACTACGGAGATGCTTCTAGCCCTCGTCGCTCTTTAGATTGTTAGCGTGTTATGTGCGCTAGCTTTTCCAGTCAGTGGTACTTCGTTTGAAAAATGGAGAAAAGGAAAGTATGCACTTTGCAAGACCTTTTGCCTACTGAATCACTGTTGTGACTACGTGACGTTTCGTACTGTGTCAGCCGCCGCGGGGTGGCGCTTTACACCGACGCATTGGAGAGGGCCGGGATTCGTATGCCAGAAGAGCGTCCCCAGCAGGACGCCTATTCTGTGCTTCTTGGATGGGTGTCATCCTGTAAACACCGGATCGTCCCGCTTGATCGTGGGTCTTGATCAGTCTCTGCCTTACCTTGTGCTGCGCACTTTTCCAGCCGGCTGGCTGGCGGCAGCTACAGCGCTGTTGGTCGGCAGGCTGGGTCCCGGACTATGGGTCTGGTCCAGGAGCATTCTTATGAGCCCCGCAGGCGGTGGGTTGGAGCCTCAGCTGTCCCCGTCCCGTGGCACACGCGGTGAGCGTCTGTGTGTCGGTCCGCCCGCGGTGGGCGTAGTGACGGCCGTGCGCTGACGGACCGCCGCCGACAGGGGCGAGCGGCACCACCGGCCGTCGGGCAGCTGCCTGCGGCCGCCCGCCGACCCGGTGGCCGGCTACAAGCTGGAGACGGCGGCGGCGCACGAGCTGGCTGCCCCGCACCAGGCCTGGCTGCAGCTGCCGACCCTGCCCGACCGGCACCTGGCGCTGTCGCAGCCGGCTTTGCCGCCGCCGCCGCCACCACCTCCTCCGCCACCGCCGCCGCCGCCACCGCCGCCGCCGCCGACCAGCGCGCCGGTGCTCATATCTGACATGCATGGGTGAGTCGCGGCCCGTGGCGCGCCATCGCCGACGATGTACCAAACCGGAGTTGCAGTGGAAAACTGCTGTGTCCAAAGGAAAATTGGCAGCATGCGAGGGCTGTCAGATGTCGCATTCTGATATACATTATGGGATGTTCATGGCGGATGTGCAATCAGTTTTATATTTAAAAACTTTCATTTCTCCTATCGCATGCCTGAATGGCTATTCTAATGATGCCAATTGTCCGGAAATGTTACCTGACGCGGCAAAGCAATTTTATTGGGCTGCGTTCAAACAATCGATGGTGGACGCGGCCTAAGTAAGCGAACAGTGCAGGTTGAGTCACATTTCAGGATTGCATAAGTACGGTGACGGATCAGCTGTGGGGCAGCAGTGAGCTGTTGTCGGGCGCCCGCCGCTGTCGGTGCTGTGCCTCTCTGACCGGCGTCGGTGTGGCGGCCAGCGGGCTGTTGTCCGGCGCCCGCCGCCATCTCCCCCGCCGTCGGTGCTGTGCCTTTCTGACCGGTGTCGGTCCGACGCCCGCCGCCATCTCCCCCGCCGTCGGTGTCGTGCCTCTCTGACCGGTGTCGGTGCGGTGGCCAGCCTGCAGGGCTGGAGTGTGGTGGGCGCCGGCGGCTCGGCGGCCGTCTACACGGACCTGGACGCCGGGCCGAGCAGCGCCGGCGCGTGCCAGCCGCTGGAGCCGCCGCCGGCCGAGCACGAGCTGCCGGCCGCCGAGCTGCTCTGCACCGAGGAGTCGCTGCACAGCAGCTGCCCGTCGCCCGGCGAGCCGGCCGTGCTGCGGCCGGCGCCCGAGTACCACGGACAGGACTTCAGCGTGAGTGGCGGGCCGCGGCGGCCACCGCCGGGGCCGGCTGGTGCCCCGGAGCAGCGCTGCATGGATGACAGGCAGACGCTCCAGCGCGCGGCCTTCACGAGGAATGGGGACCCTTGGTAAAATGGAGAAGTAGGGAAAACAGGATTTCATCAGGAATGAGGTGTAAGGTCAGGATATTATCGCGCTGCAAATGGCCTGTGCTGACGCCAGTCTAGGTTTTTGAAGCCCGCCCACTCAAAATGTTGCCATACCACTAGTTCCAGCAAGTTTTGTATTCGTGTGTACCTTGGTTACGTAGCCTTGACTCCAGTTTCCTTGCTTTGCGACGCGTCTTGTTCAGCAATGGCTGTATGGAACCTCGTCGGTGATCGACTATGGGACAGACACGACTGGCAGTCCACTGTCCGGTCCGGTCTGGTCTGTGTCCAGCAGACCTGTCAGAGTCCCATGCGTCTGTGCGAGACCACTGGTGCCGGCCGAGACCTGACCTGCCGTGCCCTGACCTGACCTGACCTCGGCTGACGGCGCGCAGGTGTACAGCGGCGAGGTGGCGACGTACCAAGCGGCCGGCTGCGGGGTGTCGCCGTCGCGCCGGATCCACCTGACGCTGCCGCCCGAGGCCGGCACCGCCGCCGCCTCGGCCGGCGCCGACCCGGACTACGTCAGCTTCAAATGCATCCACTGCTCGCGCGAGTTCGGCACGGCGGAGGATATCCACGTCCACCTGTCGTCGGTGAGCGAGGCCAGCCACGTGTGCCAGGCGTGCCACGAGGTGTGCCCCTCCACGTGGCACCTGGCCGACCACATGGCGCTGCACAGCTCGCCGCGGCCCTACAAGTGCGGCGTGTGCGCCAGAGAGTTCCGCACCTCGGCCCTGCACCGTCAGCACATCCTGCAGCACATCCCGGCGAGGATCCGGGACCAGGTGGGCAGCGAGCTGGCGCCGCCGGCCGTCGCCGCCACTGCCGTGGCTGCGGAGCTGGCGCCGCCGCCGCCGCCGCCGCTGCCGCTGCCGCCGGCGGCGCTGGCGCCGAACGTCGAGCAGCGCAAGCCCGTGTCGTGCGCCACGTGCGGCGCCACGTTCGCGCAGCCGCTGTCGCTGCAGCGTCACACGCTGCAGCAGCACCGGCAGCCGCGGCGACCCGTGCGCCGCATCTGCAGCTGCGACCACTGCGGCCGCATCTTCTACAGCTACAAGCAGCTCAAGTGGCACGCCGAGATTCACGGCAAGCGGCCGCACACGTGCTCCACGTGCGGCCTGCGCTTCCTGCACCAGTCGTGGCTGACGCGTCACATTCGGTCGCAGCACAACCCGCGCTTCGTGGGCCGCAACTCCGGCGAGTCGCGCCCCTGCCCCGTCTGCAACAAGGTGTACATGCGCACCTCGCTGCGCGCGCACGTGCGCATGATGCACCAGGATGCCAAGCCGTACCAGTGCGCGCGCTGCGGCCGCCGGTTCTCGGCCAAGTGTAACCTGCAATCGCACGTGCTGTCGCACCTCAGCTACCGCGACCGGCCGTTCAAGTGCGACCAGTGTCGGAAGGCCTACACCACCGACCGCGACCTGCGCGTGCACAAGGCCACGCACGAGGGCAAGCGCTACCCGTGTAAGGTGTGCGGCAGGGAGTTCAGCCGTGTCAGTTCGATGAACGTGCACCTGCGCGAACACGACGGCGAGAAGAAGCACATGTGCGGCGTGTGCGGTAAGCGGTTCGCGCGCAAGGCCTACCTGATGGCGCACGTGCGCATCCATACGGGCGAGCGGCCGCACGTGTGCACCGTCTGCGACCGCTCCTTCGCCAGCCGCAGCAACTACAACGCGCACGTGAAGAACCACGGGCGCCGCGAGCCGGTGAACGCCGAGCTCTGAGGTGGACGCGCGCTAGGCGAAGTCGGGTGGGGCGGGCGGCTCCCGCGCGGCGCGACGCCGTGCGGTGTTTCGGAGCGGCCCGGGTGGCCGAACGGGGCGGGCTGGGCCGCGACGGCGGTGACCGCTGGCCGGCGGCTGCGGGGACGCCCCGCGTCTGGACGCGCGCGCCGGGAGTCGACCCCCGCCAACGGAAGCTGGCGGTCGCGGTGCGTGGCGGAACAGGGTGTGCTGCGCGTCCGTGATCCTGTTGTTGGTATCCTCCTTTATATGTACAAGCTCCGCGCCCCGCCCCGCCCCGTCGTTAGAAGGCCTTCTTGTGCGGCAGACCGCCGGACTGCGGCGTGCCAGCATGGCCGGGCGGTGTCTCGCTGACCGCCGGCGGGGTCCTGGACCGTCTGCCGACATGAGGGGAGGGCGAGGGGGACACCCGCGTGCCCGCGCTGACCCCCTGGGATCTCCCCGTTTGTGTGTGTGTGGCCGCCTACCCGGAGCACTACGCGTCGTGAAGTGCGATACGTTGCGTTGCGTGCTGTTTACAAATGGCCATGTCCCATCGAGCAGCCCGAGCGCCGCGATTGGTGGGCTCTGCTCGTTGAGGCTGGTAAGGCATTGGCCTGCCATATCACTGCTGATTAGATTTCTAGTCTCCGCTATGCTGGCAGTAGCGCCAGTGGGGCGCGGCCGCCCCGGCACCCTGGGCGGGCGCCTTCTGACCCGTGTCGTCCCCGGACGGCGCCAGCCGCTGGGGCGTCGAAGGGCTGGTCCGGCTGGGTCAGTACCGGCCGACGTGGGCAGACGCGCCGGCCGGGCTGAGGCGGGCCGGCGGCCGCGCCGGCTGGGACGCGCCTCACTGGCGGCCTCGACCTCAGCAGACGTCCGAAGGCGGCCGGCTCTGGTGGCCGCCGGAGGTGGTATGACGTGGGGGGGGGAAGGGGGGGGGGGGGGGTCAGAGCGCGCCGCTTCGAACAGCGTCGCTTGTTTTCAGCACGGTAGGCGCAGTATTTGTTACGTTTGCTAGGTTTGGATGGGGACACGCTTTCGTCTAGCCATGCACCTCTTGGATCGTCCTCGTTCTTTGCCCTAAGCGGAATGGCACCTAAGGCTCCAGCTAGGGCCGTCGTGCTTGTTCGCGGAATGTCCGGCTCCAAGGTTATTGGACGTTCCGACAAATTGGACGCTGGTGAAACCAGCCTAGAATTCCGACGTCATTTGTCGGTGACAGCTTTTTCAGTAAACGGTCAAGCATATGACATTGACTTATATACATATACAACGCGATTTCAGACTGGGTGGACGAGTGTGTGATGTTCGTACATGTTGTGTTGATGGAAATTTTTGGGACAGTAGTGAGCTACGCGTATTATCGGTGTACGTTGGCCGGCTGCCGTCTGCGTCAGCTGATGGCGCGGCCCGGCGCGCGCTCGTTGCCCAGCGCGCGCTCGTCGCGTGACGTGTTGACCGGGGACGCCCGGCTCCCCGGCCGTCGGGCGGCGCCAGGGGAGGCCACCGTTTCTTGCCGTGGCGGCCGCGGCCGGGCTGGCGCAGCGTCGCGAGCCGGCGGGAGCGCCGCGGCCCGCCGCCCACGTGTCCTGCCAGCAATACTGCATAACCGGGCGCGCCGATGGCATTACACTGAGCTTTACCGTCTGTGTGGTCGCGGTCCGAACCCTCGTAGATCTCGCGGACGCCTCCCGGGAAGAGCGGCGGCTGGAGCGGCGCCGCTCCGCCGGGGAAGAGTGGCGGCCGGTGGGGCGCCGCCAGGACGGCTGTCGGCGTCGCCCCCCCGCCGCCGGCGGACAGCCGCCCCCCGCCCCCGCCGTTCAGCACTGTATGGTAGCGGCCCCGACCGTAGTTGTTTGTGCGTTTTCCTGTGTTGTCTTTGAGCATGCTTCCCTTGCCGTATGGTGGCGCTGAATGGTGATGCGAGGAGGGTGGACGCTTGCGTGTGGTGTGTTGATTTATTACAGTTTGCTCTGTCTTTGCGGAACATAAAATACACTTTGAAAAAGAGGCTGGTGATGTCACTTGACGTGCGTCGGGATGGCGGGCAGCTCCCCAGCGCCGCCGCTGCTGGTGGAGCTGAAACCCGTGCTTCGCCCCAGAAAGTAGTCAAGTGTCCGGACATGGACATGGTAAGTGTTCGTTTGCGCACGGCTTAGCCTCAGTCGCATGTGCGATTTGTAGCATCCTCGGAGACAAAGATGGACTTAAAATACAGTATATTAGCACATATGACGGAGCGCGGGCAGCCAGCTGGGTCACTGGGACGCCAATGCCGGCACCCGCCGGCGACCATGATTGAAAGACACGGATGGGACTGCCCCGGCTGCGCGAGACTGTCCGAAGCCGCACCGCACACTGCACACGTGCACTAGCGAGCGCCCCTGCACTGGTCGTTCACCTTTTACTCCCTAAGTGGCAGCACCGACAGGCGCTCAGCTTCGCAAGCCCGTTTATCTGATTGCCCGGAAAAAGCGAGGACAGTTGTTTAAAAGCATCCATCATTCTGATGACAAATAGTATAAAAACGCTAAACGATCCCGAACCAGTGCTAAAGGGGCACAGCTAAGTGTAGAGATTCCATGCACTACCGTCAACAAACAAGTAAAGATGTCCATTCGTGATAACCACTAGGTCACAGAGGTCACAAAGGATGGTCCCGTTCATGGCGTATGTCGTGGAAATGTGACGGGGCGGGCGGCATCATCGGCTCTATTGCCATGGAAACAATTCCAACCCGCCCAGCCCACAGAAGTTCAACACACACGCTGGATGACACGATCGGTACTCGCATCGTGCCCTGCAAATCTCAAAGGTAGCCGCCACTCGTCTCGGCACATGGACGCGCGTCAGGCACCGCCTCAGCCCCTGATAGCCGCAGCTTCCGTCACCGCAAGACGCGAAGCATGGCCCCGGACAGGCGGCGTGGTGCACGTCAACGGTGGCAGCAAGTGCTCCAGGCACGCCAGAAATATAAACCCCGCTGTCATTGGCTGCGCGTGGTTACCAGAGGCACAGAACACCAAAATGGACGGGCTTACAGAGCAGAGCGCTCCCTACGTCAGAAAACTGGTGTCGCTGGCCCCGCAAATCTAGCTGAGGCCCCATGCCCGCCAACCTCCGACCAGCCAAGTCCGTAGATCTTGCGTCACTCCCGGTGGAGGGGGAGAGAGGGGCACTACATGACCGCGGGCACCACCGGCCACTCGGCAGCGCTCACAGCCGCGTGCGCTGCTTGTCGTCGTCGCCCGGCTGGTCGATGCTGACTGCGGTGAAGGCTCGCCGGCCACCGTCGTCGGCCGCCTCGTCCCGCGCCGCCGGCTTGGCCGGCGGCTGGTTGGCGGCGCGGCCGTCAGGCGGCGCCTCGGTCGCCGTCGGCTCACCGTCCTCGCAGATGGCGGCGGCTGCCTCCAGAGGCGGCGAGCCGGCCAGGCGACGGCGCAGCGATGAACGCAGAGAGCTGAGCCCAGCCCGGAATGAGCTGGTGAGGGAGCTGCGCCGCGGCGGCTCCGTGTCCGGCCCGTCCGCCACTGCAGGGCACACGGGGTCAGGTCAGGTCAGGTCTGTGTCTGGCCTGTGCGCCACTGCAGGACACACGGTCAAGTCAGGTCAGGTCTGTGTCTGTCCTGTGCGCCACTGCAGGGCACACGGAGTCAGGTCAACAGCGGCCGCTGGCCGTCAGGCGGCTCCAAGTCTGGCCCAACCGCCACTGCAGGGCACAAGGGGTCAGATCGTGTCACGTCAGGTCAGCGGCGACCGCAGGTCTCGTTTCCCCAGCCGCTACCAGGTCTGACACTCAGAAGTAAACCGCTCAACGGAAAATATGTAAATATTTGAGTGAGAAGTCAAAGCAGCATTATACGCATGCCAGCTCAAAATGGAAGGCAGTTCAGCTTACACCGCACGACAAATCGAGGCGCGCTATACAAGGAAATAGACAGGGTGGCATATGACTGCTAGGAGAAAGCGATGTTGTCTTTAACCGAATTAGCTGTTGGTGGTGGGAGAGCGCAGCGTCGGAAGCAGAGGTCTGCCAGCCGACTTTTGTCCGAAATCGCTGCAAGCTACATTTAGACAACCACGCCACGCTGTGCTCAACCGAGGGCTTCCAATCACCGTCACACTCGCACTTTGTGTTGTTGGATCACCAGAGCCTGTGGGGAACCACATGCCCCGGTATCTGCTTCCATACCATCGATTGGTGAACCGGCATCTGCCGCCACTCCACCGACCGGTGAGACAACCCCGCTGACCGGTGAGCCCACTCTTCTCACTGGTGAGCTCCCCCACGGACCGATGAGCTCAGTCCACCGACCAGTGAGCTCACTGTACTAACCGGTGATCTCACTCTGCTAACCGGTGAGCTCACTCCACTGACCGGCGAGCATACTCCACCAACCGATGAGCTCACTCTGCTAACCGGTGAGCTCACTCTACTGATCGGCGAGCATACTCCACCGACCGGTAAGCTCACTTTACTGACCGGTGAGCTCACTCTACTGACCGGTGAGCTCACTCTACTGACCGGCGAGCATACTCCACCGACCGGTGAGCTCACTCTACTGACCGGTGAGCTCACTCTACTGACCGGTGAGCTCACTCTACTGACCGGTGAGCTCACTCTACTGACCGGTGAGCTTACTCTACTGACCGGTGAGCTCACTCTACTGACCGGCGAGCATACTCCAACGACCGAGTGAGTCACTGCTGACCGGTGCGATCACTACTGACCGCGAGCATACTCACCGACCGGTGAGCTCACTCTGCTGACCGGTGAGCTCACTCTACCTGACCGGCGAGCATGCTCCACCAACCGGTCGAGCCTCACTCTTCTCTTCCGACCGGCGAGAATACTCCACCGACGCGTGAAGCTCACTCTGCTGACGCGGAGCTCACTTTACTGACCGGTGAGCTCACTGCTCTGCTGACCGGTGAGCATCACACCTACTAGACCGGGCGAGCATACTCCACCGACCGGTGAGCTCCACTCTACTGACCGGCCAGAGCATGCTCCACCGACCGGTGAGCTCACTCTACTGACTGGTGAGCCCACTCTACTGACCGGTGAGCGACTCGGGCGGCGAGGCGTAGTGAGTGTAGTCCTCATTGGAGATCCAGGCAGGCGCGCTCGTGTTGTGCCACTTGAGCGGCCGGTGGCAGACGAGCACCTCGTCGTCCCGCTTCCAGGGCAGCACGCTCTCCGTCTCGGTGATGGGATGGGCGGCTGCGGGAGGCGCGACAGCAGGGCGTCAGGCACCGGCCTCAGGCGGCGGCCGCAGCCGCTGTCTGGCAGGTGAAGGGGGAGGGCGATGGGGGGGGGGGGGGGGGATGGCATGCGCCGCCACAGAGCCGCACGCAGCCAGGCAACTGACCCTGCACTCTCGCTAACCTTGTTGAAATTATCTGCATCTAGCATGTGGACGGCTGATGTAGGTAGCTACATGCTCATGCGTAGTCGGCGCAAGTGTTCTGCACTAATCGTGTACTTGCCGAGAGGTAAATGTGATTCGATTTTTGCCCTGTTCCTCTGTCGCCATCATGCCAGAGTTATGCCAGACAGTAGCATGACAGAGAAGAGTTACAGTTACAGTTGCCGAGTTACCGAGTTCAGAGTTGCATAGTTAGGGATGACAACATTGTGACAGAGAAGGGCAACACATGTTGACAGCAGTGATGCCAGAACTTAAGCTAGCAATGACATGAAATACGCCGCGCATCAATGCTATCGTAGAGGATCTGTGCGACAGACCGCGTCCAAAGGACGCCAAGACGCATCACAGCCGGAAGGGACTGGAGCACATCAGATGGGTTCAGCAACGTTGCTGGTGGCGCCCTGTGCTCTGCAGCTGTGCTACCCTCACCATCACTTGACACCGAGTGGTTCCTGCTGGCCGTCTCCTTGGCCCGGAAGTTGATGACGCCCCGCGCCTCAGCCGTCTCAGCGTCCGACGCCGACCGGCCGGCGCGCGCGCCGAACGGGGGCACGGCGTCTATGACGTCATATAGATCATCTGCGCGGCAGGAGCACAGGCCGAGGCGGCTGACACAGGAGCACAGGCTGAGACGGCGGACACAGGAGCACAGGCTGAGGCAGCTGACACAGGAGCGCAGGCTGAGGCAGCTGACACAGGAGCGCAGGCTGAGGCGGCTGATACAGGAGCACAGGCTGAGGCGGCTGACACAGGAGCACAGCCTGAGACGACTGACACAGGAGCACAGCCTGAGACGGCTGACACAGGAGCGCAGGCTGGGGCGGCTCACACAGGAACCCAGGCTGAAGCAGCTGACACAGGAGCACGGGCTGAGGCGGCGGACACAGGAGCACAGGCTAAGGCGGCTGACACAGGAGCACATATAAAGACAGGCTGACACGGGGACGTGCGCTGCGACAGGTGCGACTCCAAAGCTGCTGTGACACTTTCCGACGCGCGGTGGCACTGGTAACGTGGCGCAATGCATGGGGTGCAATTTGGGGTGCAACATGGGGTGCAAATATTTGCAATCACGTCAGAGATCCTACGTAAATAATCACCCTAAGTTGGACTTCAGAGAAAGAAACTTAAGCCGTTATCCCCGCCTTTGACTAGACCACGTTCAGAAAAGACAGCCTTCCTCAATACAGTTCGCAATGGGTAGACCGTCGAAGAGTGGTGCCATCCCGGCGCCTCACCGTCTTTGAGTTTCACCGTCGAACCGTTGGTCTGTACGGCGAACGAGACATTTTTCCTGGGCGAGTGTCCGTTCTGGTTCTGTGGAAAAGGGGCAGTCCGGTCACGACCCCGGGGGCCCGGGCCTCTACAGCAAGCGTCAGCTCTGGTTCTGTGGAAACGGAGCAGTCCGGTCACGACCCTGGGCATCTCACGGGCCTCTCCACCAAGCGTCAGGTCTGGTTCTGTGGAAAAGTGGCGCCCGGTCACGAACCCGGGCATCTCACGGGCCTCTCCAGCAAGCGTCAGCTCTGGTTCTGTGGACAAGTGGCGCCCGGTCACAACCCTGGCCACCAGACCCTCTCCAGCAAGCGTCAGCTCTGGTTCTGTGGACAAGGGGCGCCCAGTCACGACCCTGGCCACTCGACCCTCTCCAGCGGCCAGCGACACCTGCGCGGACCCAGTGACATCAGCGGCAGGGCAGCGGCGTGACGCCACCGTCACGACCGCGCACGCAGGCAGCGGCGGCAGGAGAGGCACGCCGTCACCGCCCCGCGCCACTCGGAGCGTGACGATCGCGCCCGGTAATCCACCCAGAACAGCAGCCGCACGTTCTGCGGACAGACGTGCACGGCTCCGTGTCGCTGTAGCGACCGTAAACAGCTGACAACGAGCCGGACGTGGAGCTGTCACTGATAAGGTCCCCCGACCTGTACACTTGCACTCAAAACAATGACGCGGAATTGACCAAGGTCCGCATAAAGTGCAGGTAGTTGCAAATTACGCCAACGTTGGCAAACTCGTTGTTTAAAACGACAAGAGACAGGAATGACAGAAACGGTAACGGCAAGGACAAGGGCATTCAGTCAGCGACAATGCAAGACTTTCAGACCCAGACGCGTGTTGGAATCGGACACTTAGTCAGCCAGCCCGTCTCAAAAGCAGCCGCGGACTGGTACTAGAGAAAGCGGTCCGCAAATCGTAGAAAGGCTCACAAAGCTGGAGAAGGTCGCATCGAACCTACGAGAGTCCCTTAGCAGCCAGTTATTTGGAGCTGACAGGAGCCAAAAGCTAATCCGGAATCATATATTGGCGGTGGGCAAGGAAACTTCGGTCAACAGGTGAATGGTCGTAAATCGTCTCTAAAAACGGAACAGCCCTGCTTTTTCATTGCACTGGTAGAAAGCGGCCCCTCCCCCTCCCCCCCATAGAACTGCCCTCGGCCGGAACCAATTACACATAGCACTGCTGCCCATGTCGTAGCGGTGCCTAGCAACAGCGCACGCCTTTTAGTTCGTGCGCCCAGTGGTTCACAATCTCGAAGCCGCGTTTCCGCCGTGCGGCGACACCCACAAAGCCGGGCGTGTCGAGGCTCACCCTCTGCTTCTTGCCGCGGTACATGTCGATCATGCGCTGGCGCATGTACAGCTGCATGGTGTGGTTGACCGGACGCGTGTGCATGTCGTCATCGCAGACGGCATGGCGGGAGTAGCTCCAGCGCCTCCGCTGCGGCACAGGCGCACGCGCCGTTAGGCGAGGAGTACGACTGCCCGGAGGGGGGGGGGGAGCACGGGACACCAGCCTGGAGCGGACTCGAACGAAGCGGCGCGAGTGGTCGTCCGCACAAGCACGACTGGCTGTCGGGAGCGGTCGGCTGGCTGCCCAACATAGCGATGCGTTTGGAAACCTCCACTCCACAAATTGTCGGCATTTCACCCGACCTTTACGGGCAGCCGTTTTATCGAAGACAGGCAGCACGGCGGTTACAGAGCACACAGACAGGAGCCTAGATTGGCTCCTTCTCCACGTCCCCCCCCCGACCTGTCCGCCTGCGCGCCCACACGTGCTGTCAGCGAGCCTGAGGGCACGTCCTCCATGCGCCGTCAGCCGCGGCGGTCGGACCACTGACCCGGTAACGCGGATTCATCTGCTCGTCGGTCAACAGGTGGTGGATGGTGGCGTCGTTCAAGTCCTTCATCGAAGGGTTGTAGCGGATCTCGTTCATGTCCGGCATGTAGGTGTTGTCCATCTGTGACAGGTTCCAGTTCCTGGCGCCGGGGAGAAGGCCGGTGTCGGGTGAGACGGCTCGGGTCACGCGTCAGGTGCGAATAGCCAACGCCATTGAGGCGCTCTGGAACCTCAGTGACGGACTGCTCATGCGTCGGCTCAAATCAAAAGACGCGCAGCTGTTGCCGCCGATCATACCGCCTGAACCGCCGGAACAGCAGACACCTGAACCGACGGTACAGCAGACGCTCGAACCGACGGCCCAGCAGACACCTGAACCGACGGGACAGCAGATACATGAAACGGCGGGACAGCAGACACTTGAAACCGCCGGCACAGCAGGCACCTGAACCGACGGCACAGCAGACACCTGAACCGACGGCCCAGCAGACACCTGAGCCGACGGCCCAGCAGACACCTGAACCGACGGCACAGCAGACACCTGAACCGACGGGACAGCAGATACATGAAACGGCGGGACAGCAGACACTTGAACCGCCGGCACAGCAGGCACCTGAACCGACGGCACAGCAGACACCTGAACCGACGGCCCAGCAGACACCTGAGCCGACGGCCCAGCAGACACCTGAACCGACGGCACAGCAGACACCTGAGCCGACGGCCCAGCAGACACCTGAACCGACGGCACAGCAGACACCTGAACCGACGGCCCAGCAGACACCTGAGCCGACGGCCCAGCAGACACCTGAACCGACGGGACAGCAGACACATGAAACGGCGGGACAGTAGACATATGAACCGCCGGCACAGCATGCACCTGAACCGCCGGAACAGCAGACACCCAAACCGCCGGCACAGCAGACACCTGAACCGACGGCACAGCAGACACCCAAACCGCCGGCACAGCAGACACCTGAACCGACGGCACAGCAGACACTTGAACCGTCGGTACAGCAGACACCTGAACCGCTGGCACAGCAGACACCTGAACTGACGGGAGGGTATACACCTGAACCGCCGGAACAGCAGACACCTGAACCGACGGCACACCAGATACCTTAATCGGGTCCATTTATTGACATATGGAAATCACGAATCAAAATTAGTGAAATGCGTAGTGGGCATCAATGCAAGAGAGAACATAAATTAATTCCACACCCGAGGGCTGCGCGGCCACGGACACAAAGTTCAGGACGCAGTTCACAGCGGACACAGCGGACACAGTTCTCAGCGGCCAACATCCGAACGGACACATCCAGCAGACACATCCAACAGACACATCCAACAGACGCATCCGAATCCAAAACACGACGGCACACCCGCCGGAGACGCCTCATGGATCGGTCAGGTCCGTGTCCCGAGCGAGACTGACGTCACTGGATCGGTCAGGCCCGTGTCCCGAGCGGGGCTGACTTCCAGCTGTACGGGGGAGTCCTTTTGCAGCAGTCGCTGACGCCAAGACGAAACGCGGCAGAGCGCACCACAAGCTTGGCTATTCCGATGACGCCAGCCACTGCCTCGCCATTTCGCCGCAAGGCTAGCGGGCTTTACGCCAGGTTAGCGGGCTTTTACGCCAGGTTAACGGGCCTTGACAGTGGGCTAGGAGGCTACGACGGCCATCGGTGTAAAGCCAGTAAGTCGCAAGCGGATGAGACTTTAGCCGGTTCATAGCTTGCAGGCTTAATTGTGGCGTAAAACGGGGTAAATGAGCTGCCACGTGTATGGTGAGCTACCGTGTCCAGCTGCCGAGCATTGTAAAAATACGGTCTCGTCCCCAGCTGCTGCTGTGGAATTGTTCAATGCGAGAAAACCAATGATCGCCACCTGTGGCCATACTAATGGCAAGGCCGGCTTTTGTCACGTAAAATCAATTACAGCAGTCAAAGTCAAGCTCAGTGCGGCAAGCAGCTTGCAGGCACACATATGACCGCTGTTGCATGCATTTGTATCGACGCTGCCGCGTTGCAGCGGGCCGGAGCCAGCGCGCCGTACACGAGTATCCGAATGCAGGCCAGCTTGTAAGCAGCGTATGGCTCGGGGCAGCCTTGGCCTGGGAGAGCGGTTTGGCATCGAGCGCGCCTTCCCACTGCACAATGGCATACGTGGGCGAGGCGAGACCATACATGCTGACTGGGACCTGGTGGGAGCAGTGTGCAAAGCCTGGAACTTACATCGCAGCAGTACGACACACGGAAGGGACGACCCGCTCTACCAGCGGGCAGTGCTGCTATGCTTCGTCATCACGACGATGATCTTTTTAACGGCGCGTGCAAATCTTATGTTCAAACATCAAGGAGGAAGGCTAGCAGGTGACGTGAACAGAACACATAATTGACCTTCGCAGTAAATCACAGCAGCTGAGCTCAAACAAATGGTTTATCTGAGCGGCGTGATGGCCAATCGTGCAGACGACAAGAATCACGGAGTTCAGTAAAACTGACCCCTTTATCCCAATGTCACAACGGAGCTGAGCGGCGGCCAGCAGCATAACGCCGCCGGCGGACACACTGACGAGCTATCGCGGATGCTGTTCCCCCCCCCCCCCCCCCCCCAGGAGGGTGACGTCCCCATGGTGGACACACTCACGAGTTATCGCGGATGGTGTCTCCCCAGGAGGGTGACGTCCCCATGGCGGCCACACTCACGAGTTATCGCGGATGATGTCCCCCCAGGAGGGTGACGACCTCATGCGCGTGCCCTTCTGGCCGCCGTTGATGACGTCATCGACGGCCGACTTCATGGCGTCCTTGAGGGCGAGCTTGCTGAAGGTCTCCATGATCTTGGGGTCGCGGGTCGTGTCCTCATGGGTCAGCAGCGGGCGCAAGTATTTGTGGTTGAAGTGCTTGAACCTGCAGCGGGAAAATATAATGCTGTTCACCAAGGTTGCACTCAACATGCACGCAACGCTGAACACCACCGGCACGACGGCTCACGCGAGCAAACATTTGATAACAGCTCCACTCCTCATCGTCTCCCTCAAGACACAGCTCACATCGACGCATTCCCCCCAAATGTGTCAGCACTCAGCCGAGATGTCATGATCAGGGACTCGGTGGAACTAACGAGTACATCGTCACCGTCAAACGCCACCTGCCGGCCACCGCCACCGGTGACGTCACGCCACCGCCACCGGTGACGTCACGCCACCGCGGCCGGCGAGCCCCAGTCGCCCCTGGCGCTACCGGCCGCCGGCGCGCCTCACATGTCGCGCAGGTAGTATCGGCCCGGGTGGCCCACGATGTCCTCGATGCCCGCCATGATGTGGTCCAGCGAGCGCTCGTGGATGCGCTCGTTCATCGTCAGCTTCCGCTTGTTGGAGCGCTTGACGCCGAGCTTCTCCACCAGCGGCTTGATTGTCATACCCTGTGGAAACGGGGCAGGGGGGGGGGGGGGGTCAGCGGTGGCGGGGCGAGGCGGCGCATGCGTCGCTTGGGGTGCAGTCGGCCGTGCGCAGCGTCACGTCACGTCACGTCACGCAGCAGCGCAACTCTGCCGTGACCAACCGGCAGCACGGCGTCACGTCACCTTGACATCCGCATCCAGCGGCCGTCAAAGACAGCACGCTTCCGTGAGCAGTGCCATTACCGATTTTTGACGGTCCAACAAACACAAAATCAACAGGGACAAAATCATGGAAGACCCGGGGTCATAAACCCTCTCCTCAGGGTGGTGAAGACTGGTATGGCCCATTTTCACTTGATGTTCGAGGAATTGGCATGATCTTCTGAATATGTTCCCCAAATATGCGGCGCTGAGCTGTCCCCTCTGCAGCTTTATGCCGGATTGGAGGAACCCTTCAAAGCCAAAGAACGCACAATTATCATGTTATCGTTGCATCCTTCAGCGGCACCGCTCAGGGTGGAACGAACAGCTGTCCGGTATCATGGAGAGATATGAGAGAGAGAGAGAGAGAGAGAGAGAGAGAGAGAGAGAGAGAGAGAGAGAGAGAGAGAGAGAGAGAGAGAGAGAGAGAGAGAGAGAGAGAGAGAGAGAGAGAGAGAGAGAGAGAGAGAGAGAGAGAGAGAGAGAGAGAGAGAGAGAGAGAGAGGAGAGAGGAGAGAGAGAGAGAGAGAGAGAGAGAGAGAGAGAGAGAGAGAGGAGAGAGAGAGAGAGAGAGAGAGAGAGAGAGAGAGAGAGAGAGAGAGAGAGAGAGAGAGAGAGAGAGAGAGAGGAGAGAGAGAGAGAGAGAGAGAGAGAGAGGAGAGAGAGAGAGAGAGAGAGAGAGAGAGAGAGAGAGGAGAGAGATAGAAGAGAGAGAGAGAGAGAGAGAGAGAGAGAGAGAGAGAGAGGAGAGAGAGAGAGAGAGAGAGAAGAGAGAGAGAGAGAGAGAGAGAGAGAAGGAGAGAGAGAAGAAGAGAAGAAGAGGAAAGCCAGAGCCCCTCCCCAGCCGCTCGCGGCGCACTTGCATCTGGTACGTCTTGTGCCGAATGACTGTTACGGGCCGACCGAAAGCTCTACGCTGTGTCTTGTCAGCTGTCATCAGGCTCTGATTGTATCTCTGCTTGTGGCTAGATTAACGAAGTACGACCGATTTCTGTCGGGAGTAAAGTGAAGCTAACTACAAACTTTTGGCGCTGTAACGGCTTCTGACTGACAAGTTTTCACTTGACTTCAGCTGCGACGAAGTTGGCTTTAACCATAAAAACAAAGCACCGTTAGATGGAACAAAACGTCGGTTCCGATCCGGGGCGTTATGTCAGCCTTCAGTGGCTCACAGCCTCACATTAACTAATCCAAACGTCGTCAGGGCCGAGATAATTACCTCCAGGAGCAATGCGCCAGTCAAATGACCACATTTAACGTAGTCTCATAAATTCGAAAGCCAGAGGAGTAGTGCTTCGCCCTGCGCGACCTTAACACGCGCCCGGGTGGCGGGTTGGACGCCCTGCGCTCGGGCGAGGGGCTAATTTAACCCCCTGAGATCTCAGAAACTAAGAGAGCTAGAAACACCAAATTCAAGGAGTGTATTGGCCTCTACGTGAGCTCACTCAGGTCGAAATTTTAAGTTTCTAGGTCATGACCTTTGGGTTAAATAAGGTCAAACAAGAGCAAACTCCAGGCTGGTCTCCGAAGTGCCCCAGAACATAGATACCTGTTCTAAGCAACAGGCCTGCTCATTTAAGATCGGTGACCTTGTTTGACTTTTTAAAGGTCATGGTGACCAAAATCATACAAGACTTCTGTGAGTTTGGCATTTTAATAAGCAATACAGATTACGCTTGGCAGTTTGTTCCTAATAACAAAATATCAGCCCCAATCTCTCTAGGTCGGTGACCTATTCTGTTCTTTAAGAAGCCCATGGGAAATGCATAATGCTGTTCCTGTTATCGATAAATTTGAAGTGAGCACCAGAAACTACCCCGTGCAACAGGCCCCAGAGTGCTAAAACAGGCTCGTTTTCGCAATTGGTCTGACCTCGGTGCCTGACACCAGGATCAATTCATTTTGTTCATTCAATTGTTGTGTTGTATAAGAAAGTAGTTCAGAAATGTACGGCTTTGTCTAACACTTCTTTGTTGCATCAGATTGAACGACTCGCTGGAAATTGCCATTCAGCCATTCTTGGGAAATATGAAATCATTATATCGTTCCACAGCTTAGGGCCAAGGCGAGATGCTGTAAATAACCAAAAAATACGATTTAAGAATGGGTGATCTAGGTGTTTTATTCGCCTCATATCCATTTCATTGTTCACTTAATATGTACTTCATTGTATAGATTAGCCCCTAAAGATAAGAGGTTCGTTTCTAATAAAAACGTTGAGCACTCTTAAAATCCTTGCGCTACTCTGTGAGCGCTTTTCCTGAAATTGCAAAGCCCCTGTTGACATTACATAGTTCTTAGTCATTACCCATCAGAGCTAAGCATTTAAAAATAAGGGCCACTGGCAGCATTGACATAAGCCCGGGGACGTAAGCTTCCATCGCATAGTTCTCCGGGTTTGAAGCATCTTACTCACCCACACTCATTGCTTTTGGGTCTTAGCATGAAACCCGAGGACTTTCATAAAGTAATGTTGAGTCGCGACACGGCTTTCCAACGGCTTTGAGTCGCTCCTCCTGTGCATGGGCATTCAATCGTCCCTTTAAAACCACATTCCCCCGCATGCCTGCCGACCACACTGAAGACATTCAGCACCGGCTCAGACGATCACGTGCTTGATCTTGTAGAGGTGGATCCAAGGTTCCTTGGACCCTTCAATAACAAGACCCGGACCCGGATCTTAGAATCCATTCGGAATCCAAGCGCACGTCTACGTCAGGTCTACGTCATCAGGTCGTCAGGTCCACTACGTCTACTAGAGGCACGTCAGACACGCACATGACCTGCCTCCAGATCACGTGCCCCGTGTCTAGTCATGGCACGTGTGTCTGGATTGCTCTACGCCGACCTTCACGTAGCAGAATTCTGCCGCTGACCTGCACGAAGACGGTGAAATAGACGACCGTGATGGTGGTGGTGAGGAACATCTGCTGCTGCGGCACGTGGTGCGGATCGATGAGCAGCACGAGCGCGAACGCCACGGCGCCGCGCAGACCGCCGTACATCATGACGAACTTCTCCACGCCGGCGATCTGGTGCATGCGCACCCGGTTCACCAGCCCGGCCAGGATGAGCACGCCTGCGGGAGGGCACGGCATCACTGGGCCGTCTCCGGACGCTGGGAGTCATAACACCCCCGAGGGCGTCACTGGGCAGGCCCTGGACGCTGGGAGCCACGACACTCCTGAGGACGTCACTGGACCGGCCCCGGACAATGAGAGCCAGGACACTCCTGAGGGCGTCACTGGACCGGCCCCGGACAATGAGAGCCAGGACACTCCTGAGGACGTCACTGGACCGGCCCCGGACAATGAGAGCCAGGACACTCCTGAGGGCGTCACTGGACCGGCCCCGGACAATGAGAGCCAGGACACTCCTGAGGGCGTCACTGGACCGGCCCCGGACACTGAGAGCCACGATAATCCTGAGGACGTCACTGGACCGGCCCCGGACAATGAGAGCCAGGACACTCCTGAGGGCGTCACTGGACCGGTCCCGGACAATGAGAGCCAGGACACTCCTGAGGACGTCACTGGACCGGCCCCGGACAATGAGAGCCAGGACACTCCTGAGGGCGTCACTGGACCGGCCCCGGACAATCAGAGCCACAATAATTCTGAGGACGTCACTGGACCGGCCCCGGACGCTGAGAGCCACTACACTTCTGAAAGCGGCATTGGACCAGATCCGAACGCTGGGAGCCACGACACCCCTGAGGGCATTACTGACCCCCGGACTTTGGGAGCCACGCGACCCTTGAGGGCAATCCACAAAGCTGTCCAAAATTGAAATCCGTTTCTCGAAGCATGCCTGCCTCCATGTATTGTTTTTATGAGCGCTCTTCGTACGCCTCCACAAGACATGGGAGAAAACCTAGTCGCAGGCAGTGGACATACATATTTAAAACAATAAGCCTTCTTACCTCGTGCTGCGACATATTTTTGCCTAGTACAATGGTTTTAGTCGTCTTATTTTATTATGTTAGTAAGCTTCGGTGAAAAAGCTACGGTGCCGCCTCCAGTGCTCACCAAGTGCTCTGAACAGGGAGCAGAAGAGCAGGGTGAACAGCACGAAGAAGGTATTCCACTCGTGGTGATTATGCACGGTGGCCACGCCCAGCAGCATGAAGATGACTGTCTCGCAGCTAGAGGACAACATCTTCATCGTATACTTGATGGTGGTGTGCGACTTGGCCGACACATTCGAGATGACGTAGTTCTTCATCGTCAAGCCACAAAAGGTGATTCTGCAACGCAGACCTTAACCATTAGCTGGAGACGCCCTCCCCCAATGCAGACCCCAACCGTTACCATGGATAACGATAACGTTACCATGGAAACGCATGGATAACGTAATCAAGACGTATCTCGTGAACGGCGCTGCCCTTGCTGGTACCCGCCTCCCCCTCCGCCCCCGCGCCTCACCCACCCGCCAACCGATCGCTCATCATCAGGCCAGGTCAAAACTGCCAACCTGCTTATCACCGAGCGAGAACATCAATAGCGCCGCCGTGTGCCTCACACACGACACGGAGCCCCCTTATCGGAGGCGGCACCCTCGGCGGCGGCTGAGCGGGCGCCGGCGCCGCCGTCATCGTCCCATCTCTGGCCGCTGTTTTGGACGCGCCCGGTGGCCCGTGAGAACGGCTTGGCGCACTATCGGCGGCCTGCTCGCTCACGCCAAGATGCCGGACAGGTGGAAGATCTCGGCGTTCAGGTAGGCCAGGTAGGCCATGACGAAGACGAAGAGCGGCTCGATGACGCGCACGCTGCTGGTAAACCTGCAGGACACGGTGACGCCGGCTCAAAATGTGTCCAACTGACACTGCGGTTGGCATTCGTTAGCTGTTCCATCACGGAGCTGTATAAAATGACAAATTTTATCACGAGTGCTGATATGCATGGCGGCGCGCGTCTGCAGCAGCTCACAGAAATTGCACACGATTGCACAATTGCACACACAATTACACAATTGCACATTGCATTGCATTGCGCGTCCCCAGCATCCCGGACCAAAACCGATATTGCACATCCCTGTTGTTCTTTCAAGCTCGTTGTTTTTACAGCATCATTGGTTTGAGGCACATCACAGCAGCTGATCTGAATGTGATGCTTAATTTTGCGCTCGCACTCCGCGGGAAGTCGCACGTCCGGTATAGTCATTTCACGGGCTCAAGCCCCCTGCACTCCTCAGGAGCACAGGCTGACCTGCCTCCCCCGTTTATATCCAGCCCCTGGAGGGGCGGGGAGGCGACGGCTACGCTGTAGTCCCGCCAAGTCACACCGGGCGAAGTGTTGTCGCCGATGACGGGGACGGGGCCGCGGTAGGGTTCGGCGGCGGCCCGTGCGCAGCCGCCGCCGAGGACGCGGACTCATTAGCTGACGAGGCCCGGCCAACAAGCGCCCGACGTGCTCTGACGAGGCGAGCTGGCTCCCCGGGGGGCAGCGTGGCCCGCAGCTGACAGGACAGGACACGGGGTCCGCCCCCAGCGCCGACGGTGCCAGCGGTGCGGCCCCGCGCGACAGACACCAGTTGGATCGGCTCCACCTGACTCCGCATCGTCCCCCAGAGCGGCGGCTTCGGCTCCGGCTCCGGGGCTGGCGGAAACAGGGGACGACTGCCGCCGCTGTACGGCCCGCCGTAGAAAACACTCGTCTCTTACATCCTCCACAGCAGTGAGAAAGGCAATATGTTTTTAACATGGTTTTGTTTGATCTATTGAGCACAGGATTGTTATGTGATTATTAAAATGGAAGAAGTTTGCTGGACGCCAGAAACTGGGCGCAATTGTATAAAGTTTGGGCTTCAGATTTACTACTGAAAGCTTAAATTTGCTATGTCATGACATATGACCTGCACTCGCAGCATAGCAAACGAACGTTTTAAGAATGCTGTATAAAGTAACACAAGTCTCCCAAACAAAAACACATCCGTCCGTCCGCCCTGTCCGTGCCGTTACATGCACACTTCACAGTCTTAATATAAGAGAGAAAGGCCTCAAGGTCATGCTTTTTCGACGTCATGAGTTGGAAGTTCTTTGTTGAGTTAACGACCTGCAATATACCAGGAGGTTCTCATTAAGCGACGTCGTTCAACGCCCTGTACCGACATATTGACGGTCGTTAACTGAACATACGAACTTCACAGTCTAATCTCTTGTCCCAAATAAATAAGTTTCTTTCCGCAGAAGAGGCACTCTCTTGCACGCGTGTGGCCCGTGTGTAGGGTGCCCCGTCCACTGTCGGTGCAACCGTAGTGGACGGCCCCTGACGTGACGGCGGTGTCGGCCCCTGACGTGACGGCGGTGTCGGCCCCTGACGTGACGGCAGTGTCGGCCCCTGACGGCTCTCCTGCGCGCCAAGGACGCCTTCTGGCCCACAGCCGGGGCGCGGCCGCCTGCTGGCCCACAGCCGGGGCATGGCCGGAGGCGACGAGCGGCCCAATTCGAACCAATCATCGGCCCGTGGCTGTGCCGCAGGGCAGGAGCCGCCGCCGTCGTCTGACGTCTCCACTGCACCGGCGCAGCGAGGAGCGGCAGGACCAGGCGTCCGTGAGACCGGCCCACGCGGTCCCACCGAGCCCAATCAAACTCCCTCGGCGTCCACCAATCACCGGCCGTAAATGTCAGCAGCTGGCGCCGGGCGGGCCGGTCACCAAACCGTCGCCCCGGGCTAAAGTACAGCCGCAGGGCTATCGCCGCCGTCGCCCCGGGCCAGAGTACAGCCGCAGGGCTATCGCCGCCGTCGCCCTGGGCCAGAGTGCAGCCGCAGGGCTAGCACAGCCCCGGGCCAGAGTGCAGCCGCAGGGCTACCACAGCCCCGGGCCAGAGTACAGCCGCAGGGCTAGCACAGCCCCGGGCCAGAGTGCAGCCGCAGGGCTAGCACAGCCCCGGGCCAGAGTGCAGCCGCAGGGCTATCGCCGCCGTCGCCCCGGGCCAGAGTGCAGCCGCAGGGCTAGCACAGCCCCGGGCCAGAGTACAGCCGCAGGGCTAGCACAGCCCCGGGCCAGAGTGCAGCCGCAGGGCTATCGCCGCCGTCGCCCCGGGCCAGAGTACAGCCGCAGGGCTAGCACAGCCCCGGGCCAGAGTACAGCCGCAGGGCTAGCACAGCCCCGGGCCAGAGTGCAGCCGCAGGGCTAGCACAGCCCCGGGCCAGAGTACAGCCGCAGGGCTATCGCCGCCGTCGCCCCGGGCCAGAGTACAGCCGCAGGGCTAGCACAGCCCCGGGCCAGAGTGCAGCCGCAGGGCTACCACAGCCCCGGGCCAGAGTACAGCCGCAGGGCTAGCACAGCCCCGGGCCAGAGTACAGCCGCAGGGCTAGCACAGCCCCGGGCCAGAGTGCAGCCGCAGGGCTAGCACAGCCCCGGGCCAGAGTACAGCCACAGGGCTAGCACAGCCCCGGGCCAGAGTGCAGCCGCAGGGCTAGCACAGCCGTCGCCCTAGGCTTAAGTACAGCCACGGGGATATCACAGCTGTCGCCCCGAGCCAGAACGCAGCCACAAGGCTATCATAGCCGTCGCCCTGGGCCAGAGTACAGCCGCAGGGCTAGCACAGCCGGGACATTGCACGGCCAGCGACGGCATTTTGTTTAAGTTTTGATCATTGGCGTGGGAACCGGAGCAAATGGGGTGGATGTCTGAGCAATACTTCCACGTTAATTAAGTTTTACATAAAACGTACGTTGGTGCATCAAAAGCATTGTCTTGAAAGGATATTTGTTCTTCCCCATACCCTCTGGCACGCTCACACGGCCCTGGCTCCAACGGGCTTCTGTAATGCTCAAAAGCTGTGGTGGTGAATAACAAACCAAACAATGAGCTTCCGCAGAAACGGACCAACGCTGATTACTTTGGATTGTTTCCGTACATGGTTTAGTCCAGGCTTCGTATGTCAGCCTAAAAATGCCCATTACGCACACCGGAAGCACGAAGACCGTGATTATTACTGAAAGCAGTCACGCCCCGCCGGCTCAGAGTCGTTGTGACTGTTAACGAGAGCGTGAGCGAACGTTGCTCCGCTTCGCCCACTGACCTTGTGACGAATGCTGTGAGAAAGCCCCAGATGATGCCGACCAAGGTGCCTCCCAGCGCGACCACGAAGAACTTCAGCAGCCCGGCCGCCACGTCCAGCGCCGTGATGTTATTCTCGCCCATCTCCACGTAAGCCTCGAACATGTGGTAGAGCACCTGGCGAACGGACCAGAACCTCGTGTTGGCCACACCTTCAGCACGGCAAGCTCCCAGCCGTATTCCGTTGAGCAGCGCATTGACACCGAACTGAAGTCTGACAATGTCAACGCCGACGGAAGTTCCGAACTGGCGGCCCAGACCGAGGACCGTCACCAAGCATGGTGAAATATATCATATTTTACCATACTTGGTGAAATATGATATATTTGTGTTATATAAATATATTGATATATTATATCAAAAAATACCGGGAGCAGGTGAAGTAGGGGCAGTGTATGAGTTACGGCTGGTAACACGCTTGTTTTTATTTTCGTACCTTAGTCGTTCGTTTGAGCCGCTGTCATGCCGCCTTGACAGTTAGGCATCTGTATCTCATGTGCCTTATCCGACAGTGACGTCATACATAAGCCAAATTACTCCACCGGGGTACTCCACAGTGCTTACTGCATGTGACCCTGCAGATCAACACACCCACCGCTGGCGGCCGCTTCTGTACCCACAGTGACGCCTTATCGCTGGCGGTCGCTTCTCTGCCCATAGTGACGCCCTACCGCTGGCGGCCGCTTCTCTACCCATAGTGACGCCCTACCGCTGGCGGCCGCTTCTCTACCCATGGTGACGCCCTACCGCTGACGGCCGCTTCTCTACCCATGGTGACGCCCTACCGCTGGCGGCCGCTTCTCTACCCATGGTGACGCCCTACCGCTGGCGGCCGCTTCTCCACCCGTGGTGACACCCTATCGCTGGCGGTCGCTTCTCTACCCATGGTGACACCCTATCGCTGGCGTTCGCTTCTCTACCCAAGGTGACGCCCTATCGCTGGCGGCCGCTTCTCTACCCATGTGCGTGGCGCTGCCGGACACCAGACGACATTGACGTGGGCAACGGCGGGGTTGCCCCGCTGGCGACCGTTCTCCGCACTCCAGCAGCCTTCGCCAGAGCCCTCGGTCACGGCGGCGCCGAGCGGGACGGCCCCGTCACAGCGCGTGGGTCGCGGTGCGGAATCGGCTGTGGCGTGGGTCGCGGCGTGGGGTCAGCTGTGTCGTGGCTCGCGGCGCAGGATCGGCTGTGGCGTGGCTCGCGGCGCAGGATCGGCTGTGGCGTGGCTCGCGGCGCAGGATCGGCTGTGGCGTGGTTCGCGGCGCAGGATCGGCTGTGGCGTGGCTCGCGGCGCAGGATCGGCGGGGCTCGAGGGTGCAGGATCGGCTGTGGCGTGGCTCGCGGCGCAGGATCGGCTGTGGCGTGGCTCGCGGCGCAGGATCGGCTGTGGCGTGGCTCGCGGCGTGGGGTCAGCTGTGGCGTGGATCGCGGCGCAGGATCGGCTGTGGCGTGGATCGCGGCGTGGGGTCAGCTGTGGCGTGGGCCGCGGCGTGGGACCGACTGTGGCGTGGCTCGCGGCGCAGGCTCGGCTGTGGCGCGCCGCACCCGGTCCCTGTTCAATCCGCGCGACACTCGCAGCACAGCGGCGCGTTCACGGACAGGGTGTTCACACGGGAACGGAAGAGCCAGCCACCGGGCACTTCCTGTGTGCACCGTCACGCCCAGCGCGCCGCGGCGTAGAGCGACGCGACGCGGCGTGGAGCGACGCACCGCTGTCAGCGGGCATGCATTGTCACCACGCTGTCACCTGTCAGCGGAGATCAGTCGGCCAACGCGAGCGCCGAGAGCAGGCCATTTAGCTGCATGTCGCGCGGTATTACACAATGCGGAGTGGCGGGCGGCATACCCCAGCGCCGGCCACCACCGGCACCAGCCGTCACCAGCACCACACGCGATCTGGGGTGGACTTCCCGATAACCACCCCCGGCACCGTGCCCACATCGATCAGCCAAGGGCGCCGCCGTGACTACCGTCAACACCCCACCATACGGAACAAGCACGGCAATCTTTACCATCGCCACCCCGCCATCACCGTCACCACACGATATGTACGACTTACAATCACCATCACCGCACCATCACGGCCAGCACTGACCGCGGTCATAGCCGGGGTCATCACCCCGGTTGCCCGCGGCCCAATGGCGCACAATCTGCCGGGACGGCGAGGCTGGGCCAGTTATAGCTCTGGTGCCCGATCGAGGTCGAGCTCGGCCGACTGTCGGCCAGCCTGGGGCCGACGAGGCGCGGCCCGCACGCGCAGCGCGCCACCCCGGCGACACACCGTCGGACGCTGGGGTGCGTGTGGAGCGTGTCGGCACCGGCAGAGCGCGAGAGCTGCCTGATGCGTGAAGGCAGCGCTGCGCAAAACAAGTGCCGACAATGGTCTCAATAAAAATGCGCGAGCGCGCATGCGCCGCGTGGTGACGCTGACAACGCCTGTTGAAAACACATCACGCCGATCACAGCGAGGCAACTCTGGCTGACTGGTAACCGACACGTGAATTATGAACACGACCCGGCTGCATGTCGAGACCATACGCATGCGGCCACATCAAGAAGCTGCATACACGCGGACCGGCCCCTGGGAACAGCTCGACGGCGCTTCCACAGCGCACTTACCTGCCGCTCGGCGTAAACAACCGAATCAGGTCACCGAGAATAGCATCTAATCAGGCTGGTCCCTCAACATGTTATGGCCCTCCAGCCTTGAGTACATCTAATCACGTAACGATCGAGGATGAGTTCCCCAGCTGTGCGAGAAGTTGTTGGACACGGGACACCTGGAAAACGCACTTAAAACCTGAGTTGCTGCCCGGAGAAGTCGCTTACGCCTGCGTGTTGCCAGCTGACGGCAAGACAATCATCAGCAGCCCTGTCGTGATTCCCGCAGCTGGAGCGCTCGACGCTCGGGACATTTCAGGCTCCTAAATGACCTCTTCGAGTGCGTTGGGGCCATGCAACTTAAAGATCGCGGATCAATTCCCGCCGCAGGCCACGCTCATTGGTCCGGCTTCTATCGGCGATAAAGACGATAACAGCCGGCTTACGGCCTGTGGCGCGCATGCAAAGCAAGCATAACGAGCCCCACGTTCCACGGCTGGTGCACGGCGTCCGACTGTCCGACAACGGCACCGACTGCAGCGACACTCGACATTGAGCGAGTGACGCTACTCACCGCGGTGACGGCACCGACTGCAGCGACACTCGACATTGAGCGCGTGACACTCACCACAGTGACGGCACCGACTGCAGCGATACTCGACATTGAGCGCGTGACACTCACCACAGTGACGGCACCGACCGCAGCGATACTCGACATTGGGCGCGTGACACTAACCACAGTGACGGCGTCGTTCAGCAGCGACTCGCCGAAGACGACGATGTAGAGCATCTCGTTGACGTGGATCTCCTCGAAGACGGCCAGCACGGCCACTGGGTCGACAGCGGAGATGAGGGCGGCGAACAGGAACGTGTTGAGTATGGGCATCTCGACCCCGTACAGGCCGGTTAGCCCCACCAGGTACAGTCCGCCGCCTGCAGCAGGAGACGCGGCCGGTTAGCCCCACCAGGTACAGACCGCCGCCTGCAGCAGGAGACGCGGCCGGTTAGCCCCACCAGGCACAGACCGCCGCCTGCAGCAGGAGACGCGGCCGGTTAGCCCCACCAGGTACAGATCGCCGCCTGCAGCAGGAGACGCGGCCGGTTAGCCCCACGGTCAGGCGGTCTGTACCACCAGGTACAGACCGCCGCCTTCAGCAGGAGACGCGGGTGTAGGGCTGCTGGCGGCGGCCGCGGTCACGATCAGTGGCGCCATCGGAGGACTACCTGAGATGAGTCTGGTTTGGGTGACTTGCAACATGTGCCCAACTGAGTAGAGACATGCTACATCAATGAAGGATCAAAACCCGAGCGCAGTCCAGATCAGCGGCCCAGCTGATTAACGTTACGCGTATAAATACCCGGATTCTTGCGCGAGCCGAGACGAACAGTAGGGTAGCCGGATCTTCAAAGAATCCTTCATGGAAAAAACACCGCGAGGGACATCTCGTAACAAAATAGGTGGGGAGATGGTGAGACAAAACGTGCAATGCACTGAACGCCGCCTGGTTTTGTTTCCATGCCGACGTTTTAAGCCACAGCTCCTGAGGCAAGCGGTGCTTATCAATCGAACAGCTGGAGAAGAAAGGGGCGACAAGCCCTCAATGTAAGGGCTGTCTCGTTGACCCAAATGCCCCAACTCTCCCGCAGGATACGGTGCATGTATTCTCAAAACCTACACTGAAGTAACTCCCATGCCGCAGGAGGCTCGACCTGATCAGCTCCAGGGAATCCCACCCGAGAGACAACGAGGGATCACCAGAGGTCACGGGCATTGACCAGACCGACGGCGTGCCATCAGTGCCGACGTTTCGCCGTAGCTCCGGTCGTTACCGGAGTGTTACCGACGCGGTGATCGACCACTCTACTCCACTCCACTCCTCCTGTAACCACTCCTGACCACGCAGCAGCTGCACAAGACTACCGAGATCTCGCAGAGCCCGCCACATGCGTCGGACTTCGGGTATCTGTTTCGTCACGCACGCCACTCGATCATCAGAAGGCGCATCTCTAACGCCGTGGAGAAAACAACAACAGCCGCGATGGGTTCATCCACCGTCGCCAGACAGCCAAAACCGGTACGGGAATCTGCCGCCCGCCGCGGCCGTCGCCGGCCGACCCGTCGCGACAAAGCTCGAGCGGCGCGTCAAGAGGCGCGCGAGCCCAGCGCGTCGCGAGGCCGCGCCGCTCGCGCCGCCCATTAGTGGCGAAGGCGGCGCGACCGCGGCGCGTGGCGCGACCCTGACCCAGTTCAACGCCCGCGGCCACGTCTCGCTCCGGGGAAGGGCGGAGCGCGGCCTTCGGGAAGGGGAGACGGCAGCCAGGCCCTGGCCGCGGCCATGGGCGACCGCACGACCAAAGCCGTCGCCGATGATGACGGTAATTGACCTGCCCGCGACGCCGACGGAAGATCGATTAGCGCGCCGATACAACAGGTAAACAGACGCCGCGGAGGCCGGCACCTGGCAGACAAGCCGGACTCAGCAGATAACGGCGTTAGTGGCGGCAACACGCGATAAAGCGATATTGGACACCCGCGCCCCCCCCCCCACGCTGGAGGCTATGAGTGTGCCGTGAAGGCTGCCGACGCAAACAAACAGTGCACACCTCTTCGACCGCCGCCATTCCAGACCGCTCACGAAACTAGACACGCCTCAGCCGCGCTGCTTCATGGGAGCCTGGTTTCAGGAGGCGTTGCTTCATGGGAGCCTGGCTTCAGGAGGCGCTGCTTCACAAGAGCCTGGCTTCAGAAGGCGCTGCTTCATGAAAACTTAACTCCAGGAGGCACTGCTCCGAGCAACAGGTCGAGTGGTCAGGTCACAACAGAAAGAGGCAACAGGTCACAACAGGTCACAGGGCGCGTGCGCACGAGCTGTGGGCAGTTGTGGAAGGCCGCAGCAGTAGGCAGAGTACTTCGTTGACGGGATCTACAGCGGAATAAGATGGAAGGCCACCGAATGAATGTCCTGATCTGATTGTCGCGACCTTAGTGTTGGCGACGTTTTCAGATGTAGTAGTGTCAATGGTATAAAATCTCACGTCAACACTGTTATTGGGGATTTAACGTAAAAAGAGGTGTGAATTCAGTCCATTGTATCATAGTCTCATAAGCCGGCCAGAACAGGAACTCGTGAATACCATCTCCGGTTCTACATTTCAAGTCTGCAATTTGAATTTCCAGTGACACAGGCATATGTTCACGAAACAAGCTAATTAAGCAAAACCATCTCCTCAATTTTACCTGACATGACGATGATCATTGATCCCCGATTGTCGCTAGCCTGTATACGGCATAGGGTGGTGGAAGGTATCTCTAATAAGAGAAGGGAATCTGATCTTGCTACCGTGAGCTATACGACACCACCTTATACTAATACCAGCAACCATCAGGACGACTTTCAAGAACGCTGCATACCGTCATCCACCGGTTCTGCGAGAAACTTTCTGAGATTTGATCTTCTCAAGTGTGCTAAATGGTGTTCAATATCGCTTGGATGCAAAGTGCGAATCCCCAATGGACATTGAAATGAAAGGCGGTAGAGGCGGAGCGGCGGCACTGAGGACGACCTTTAGTAATGCTGCACACCCTCATCCACGGGCAGCACAATACTGCTGCACACTCTCATCCTCATCCACTGAGGACGACCTTCAGTAACGCTGCACACCCTCATCCACGGGCAGCACAATACTGCTGCACACCCTCATCCTCATCCACTAAGGACGACCTTCAGTAATGCTGCACACCCTCATCCACGGGCAGCACAATGCTGCTGCACACCCTCATCCTCATCCACTGAGGACGATCTTCAGTAAGGCTGCACACCCTCATCCACGGGCTCTGCGAGAACCTAATTGATATTCGACCACCTCAAGTGTGTTAAAAGGTGTTCAATGCTGCTTGGATGTAAAGTGCAAATTCTCACTGGACATCGCCCTGAAAGGCGCAGCTTCCAGGCGCCCGCGGGCACGGCGTCGTGCCCAAACTGTGATCACGACGTGGAAAAGCTGGGGCAAAGCACTTTGGCCTGAGGCAAAATGTTCCGTGCACAAGCCACCTACCCGGAAATATGATAAAAATAAGTTTAAAAGCTGCCGTTTTAACCGTAGCATTAAGTACGCATAATTCGGGAAAGAGCGCGCGAGAGAGACGTTTAAAACAACGCGTCTCCAAAGAGCCATACACAGCATCATGCTCCCAACGCGCTGCAGCCAAATACCCGTGCCTCCTTCAAGCAGCCATCCCACCAACCCCTAAAACCACCAGCCGTTGTCAGCTCTCGACTGGTGTAGGCATGAGTTACTCCCACATCTCCCATCCCGAAAATGATACCAGGCACCACAAAACCATCACGGGCCCATGCAGCTCACCCCGCCGCGCTTGCTATAGCAGTCACCCTCTGATGAGGTTTGCGGAGTGCCGCTGCGCACGGTGCCGCGGCGGAAGGGCCGGCGGTGCACGAATCAGCCGTGTCACGGCGCCAGGCTGCAGCTGGGGTTTCTGCCCGCACGGTCTGAGGTCACCGGAACACGGAGCCGCCGATGCTGTGGTCGGCATGCCAGGGCAACAGTGCCGTCACTGTCCGCCGGCAGGTACTGCCCGCTGCGGTCGGCATGCCAGGGCAACAGTGCCGTCACTGCCCGCCGGCAGGTACCGCCCGCACTGGGGAATACTGGCCGGTCGCTCTCCCGGGCCGGGCTATCTCCCGGGCCGGGCTGTCTCCCGGGATGGTCGCTCTCCCGGGCTGGGCTGTCTCCCGGGCAGATCGCCCTCCCGGGCCGGGCTGTCTCCCGGGCCGGTCGCTCTCCCGGGCAAGGCTGTCTCCCGGGCCGGTCGCTCTCCCGGGCCGGGCTGTCTCCCGGGCCGGGCTGCCTCCCGGGCCGGGCTGCCTCCCGGGCCGGGCTGCCTCCCGGGCCGGGCTGCCTCCCGAGCCAGTCGCTCTCCCGGGCCGGGCTGTCTCCCGGGCCGGTCGCTAAGTGGACACCGCCGCACTCACCGCCGAACGACGGCAGCCGTTCTGCTTGCAGATAAGTGCCGCTGAGTAAAGCTTTCGGCCAAACTCCAGGTGTAATTATCTACTATTATCCACCTGCGTGTTGAGGTTGTGCGAGATCCAGCTGGAATTTCCGAGGTAAAATTGCGTGTCGAAAGACTCGTAAATACCCGGGTGGGCCCGGACCAAAATGGCAGGAAGTTTGCATGATTCAAGGGGTATGTCCCTCTACTCTGCTTCGCTGGTTATACTTACTGTGCTTACACGTCAATCGGCTCCATTATTTGAGCTTATTTGTGCAAAAGGAAGCTCATGCTAACCCTCGTCGAACTTGACAAGTTTGTGTTCGTTAAGAAATAGCACGCCATGCTTGCACGCATGCTCGGAAGCGATTTGTTACTTAGGGTGTTGGGTGTCATGAAAAGCTACCTCGGCAAATAACCATGCCGTCAGCAAAGAAAGTCCACAGAGATGACGTTTCGTGGTTACCGCAGATGAGCGTCATACGGTTTACGTGCATATGAACTACAAAGGTCCTTTGTTCAAAAGATATTTGAAAAAAGCTTCTAGAAAATTATGTTTAAGGCATACCTGATAGCGATGGCCATCAATTAAGTCATCTCATTTCTAAAATGATGTATCTCATACTTTTAGCGGTTGCGGCATTGTACCAACAGTCCATGGCTGTTAATTCTTAATTGTTGTTTGAGGTCTGAACCCGCCACAATGCTGTGAATTCCTTAGATCAAGCCTACAGTACGCATTTTAGACAGCACCATCAGCCTGATAAACAAAATGGTCGAAGACGGTGAAACTGTACTACAACTTTGACTGTTACGTCATTGATAAAGGGGGAAGATCGGTGAAAACGTGCAATTTCGGCTGTAGGTACATTTACTGCACAAACTAGGACCGGGTTCCAGTTCTGTGGAAAGATTCGTTCCT